GTTGGCAATGATCAAGTTGAATGGCGCAAACATCGTTTACTAGTCTCTCCCCGGATGATGGATGATGGATGATGAATCTGACATATATTAGATCCTTCCGGCTAGCAATACATACCTGATGGAAAGGGGTTAGATACGGCGGTACCTATGTATCGTCAATGCGTATTTGGAACAAATCACGACAGCTAAATACGGCGGAAGGGCAGAAGAGGGAGGAGGGGTTGATAGTGCGCTATTCCCATTGCTCAATGCCAAAGTTCGAGGCAGCTCTACGATTCAACAGCTTCATCAGACACCAGCAACTAAGAAGGTACAGCCGAGCAATTGATGATCTGATATGTATAGTAAGTGCTGTAAGTGCTATAAGTGCTGACTTCATGGTGTCGATTGTTCGAAAGCGCACGTGGCGGCGGGACTTTAAAGCATACCTAGGCATAGCACAATACGGATTACATATCACTTCCCTAAACAGTACATCCGAGGGTTTCCGTTTTATTAATTAGTGTATTAAAAAGGCGAAGAATAAATGAAGGGTGTTTGGACTGACTGCATATCTCTTAAGTTATAAGCATTTCTATTATTGTAAGCTGTTGGATGCTTCGCTTATGGGGGAGGGGGGTTAATGGAGACGATGGGGACGAAAAGGGTCAAGTAATAGAGTAATATGACGAGATTGGTGGTTGTATTGTATGTATGTATGTATGTATGTATGTATGTTTGTATATATGTAGGTACATCGAAATTACTTACGGTGCGTATCGACTCTATTTTTATCAACGGTAAGGATACCTTGGATGGGAGACTGGGATATGGGATCTCCTATCGTCGCCAAGCGGGTTTATCGAACCAGCAGTGGCTGTTAATACATAATACTTCCAAGTACTGTGTGAACGTGTACACACACAAGCCTCCGTTTTCGTTTTCTCTCATTTCCGTGATATCTCTAATAATTATCAGGATATATACATAATTATCAGAGCATAATTGATATTGGTCTTTACCGTGGTACCATGGTAGCATAGTAGCATGGGTCTACCGGCCCCGAACGCATTGTCCCACTCCTTACTTCCGATACGCCGCCGCTGTAATACCATTGATGCATTATTGACGGCCGATGCTAGGGTTGTCCAGGCATACTTCCGTAGCGAGGTAGTATGTTAAACCTTATAATACGTCTGCCGAGGGCTATAATGTTGTGTCGTATTGTAGCTCGACTTAGAGACTTACAGACTTACAGTAATAGGTAGTTAACTAGAATGTAAGGACGTAGTGTATGTGAATAATAACCCCCGTCCACGGCAGATGCAAAAGACCATATAGAGAGTGTAGGCAGTTGAGCAAGTATATACCTCTATAAGTAGGTATGTAGTTTAAAAAATATAGCTGAACTAAATATCAATCCATGTAAGTCTGACGAGAGATGCATACACTATTCGATTACTCGACTACCTCGAAAGTAGCATCCTACCGGCTTTAGTATTTAATATGGCTTAATTATTCCGGTGCGGTCAGGTTTCAGCGCATTGCGCGCCGACTGCCTCATCAGGAAACTACCAAGCGAGTCGTCGTAGCAGCGTCGGTCGATGGGGGCTGAAGTGATCGATTCTTATAGATAGACGATCCCCGGGACGTGGCCCGTGGTCCGACGCGGGTCCCGTCTGAGGTTGCCGTCGCCGTACCCGTAGTCGCACTCATCGACCGATCGAGAAAGAAATACCGCGGATCAGGCCGCCTTGGAGCACCCTATCCGATGGCCTGGCTCGTGGCTTTTAAACGGGCGTGGAATATGATACGTGCAGCAACAAGGATGCTGAAGATCGACGTAGCCATGAGGCAACTTCGTTTTCACCTGTAGAAAAAAATAAGGTAAAAAAAAAAATTTGATGACGAGGGAGGAATAGAAATATGGAAGGGCTGATCGCGAGGCTCGCCAGCCAGTCAGCTACAAAACTGCCGTGAAAAGATCAGCTCCCTGACAACTGGCTCGCATGTAGGCCCGGGCCGTTTTTCGCTCTGCACCGTAATGAACCATGCAATTACGCCCACATTCAGAGTAGAACAGAGCTGGATCGGCGCATGGTGTAGGCGTTGTCTCCATAACACAGGAATCGCCGAAGCGGGGAAGGGGGAGGATTTCTTTGGTGGTTTTTTCTTTCTTTCTTTCTTTTGATCGTTGCACGTTTTCGTGGTATTGAGGGGACACAGTCCCTTCGAGGTCTGGAATGGGCGCTGGTTACGTCCTCAATTTCCAGCTGCAGCCCGCGGCTGCAATTCCAAGATGCCGCACGTAACGACAAAGAACCCAGAACCCAGAAGCCTCCCGTAAGCACGTCTGGTCTCCCTTTTGCTTTTCTCGTAGCGTGCCGTGCAATGTAGGAGTAGGAACTAACTGTAGGAGGCCGACTACGCTATACTTATTGCCATTTCGTGACATTTATCTCTCGAGGGATATAATCCACCTAGGTGGGAAAAAGTATATGCATGACGTTTATTAAGAGTTCAACATGTGAGTTTAGTCAGCTCGCCGCCGTGCAGATGTCCACGTTCATGTCATGTAGGTTACATGTGAAAGTCGACATAAGAACGGATATAGATTATCGATCATTGATCAACGAGAACGTCTTTAAACCGAACTTGAAGATATGATGGATCATGATGCGAGTACGATGCAAGTCCGGGGAAATTTCCCATCGTCATAAAACCAAAGCATGCGACGCCGGAGCCTCGCTTTGCAACGACAGCGTCGGGGACTATCTGAAAGGAACCATTTTGCATTACTGCGACGATATAAGTGCGCGGATAGTATCGTGGCTATGGATGGTGGTAACTGATGATGGGCGAAAAGCTGCATGATTTGGGGGGCCAAAGTGAAGGATGCGTTCCGTCGATACCAAAAAAAAAAAAAAAAAACTACTTTACCTAGGTACGTTTACTCACATTTACTTACATCGTAATCAACTGGTTCCAAGATAAACGATAGCCCATTACCAAGAGATTCTCTGCGAGCCGCTTTTAGCGAGGTTGACGTGCAGGGGGTCCGGCTGCTGCAAAAGAATCGTCATTCTCAAAGCAGAAAGTGGTTAGGCTTGTAAGTTAAAGCCATCCTGATTGTACAGAAAGCCCTACGCAAATCGGCATGCATGGGTGGCTGTCTTTTCTTCTTATTTTTTTACTTTATTTTTTAACGTGCATGGGGACGTTACCTTGCGTCGTGGGTTGATGCTAGACACGCAGTCCCGGATCGACGAAGAGACACTGCACTGCTTGCTTGCTTACGATCCTCTTCCCTCTGTATTGGGTACTGCGATGGCGTCCAGGGTAAAAAGCCGAAGGGCCACCCCCGCGTTAGAGTAGGACGTCTAGAGGAAGAGAAGGAATGAGTGACGGTTATCATCACAGCCATATCCTGCTTGGCCCTTCTAGGAGCCCTTTTAAGACGATCATCCCTCTCTGGCATCGTACTACATGAAATGCAAGCCCTTTACATACGAGAAAGCCCGCCGTCTACTATATAGGTGTAATACCGTACCTAACCTAACGTATCATGAGCTCGGCGCTTCACGAACCTTGATAAGTCGTAGCGTAGACGCAGTTAGAAAAAATGCCCCGATACCCCCCAATATCATAGTATCGCCCTGCATATGAAGGAGACGTTAGAACACAATAGCATGGCCGAAAAAGTCCTCGTGACACCTGCCCCTGGCTTGTTCCACGCGAATTGTTAGGAAGGATAAAGGCGATAAGCCAATCAACTCGGCGATAGTATTTAATCGGCGGCCTCGACAGCGCCAGTCAGCGTCCACATCAGTTCCAAAACGGGTTTGCCTATTAGTCGTAGCAAGGATTACACGGGGGAACCTATGATATGTACCCGTCTCTCCATCAAGATGGGGCTCCTTCTCGATCTCGCATTTGGCGGATGCTCCACGGGGACTGTACAGGGAGATAGGGAGATCAACGACCATCTATTTAACAGCGGCAGGAATGATCATGTGTTTCGACGAAGCCCAGGAGAGGGGTTCAGGCCGCTTTGTTACCCTTTTGTTACCTATAGGTGACGAAAACGACCGAGACGACAGGCACCGGCGCATCGAGAGACAGAATCGTGCTCGTATGAACCTAGTCTGCTTTACTTGATTTGACGGCCTTGGGGGTGACTTGACCCAAGGCGAATCTCCACCGTAAGAACAATCTGTGCCGAAGATGCCGGTGAATCTCGTCCGTGACTCCGTGGCTTGCAGCTTGCTCCTCCCTCCTCCTCACGTTCCCTATCCTGGAAACATAGGGCACAGCACATTGCGAGGGGTTGATTGGATTAAGACGGTTGATCTGCCAACAATCCGATTTAAAGAGCTGAAAATTGATCGTCGCCAAGGACAGCCCGACAGACTCGCTCGCAACTTAGCGCTGCTACGTTTGAAGCAAACAAAGAAAATAAACGTAACTGTTATTACCTATTAATTAGGTGTTTTTTTGGGCCAGATTCACATGAAGCTTTCGGATGTCCGATAATAATACACCGGGAGTAAGATGCCTATTTGGGTCAGGAAAGTGTCTGATGGAAGACGGCAGCCGAGATATTACCACAAATATGTCTAGTAAACTACATGTTCTGCTAGTTATAGTATAGGTAATCAGTTAACTAGTCAATGTAGGAATCATGTATGTGCAGTATATGTGCAGTATGGTAATGTGTAATATGCATGTAGTATACCTATGTGTATGTGTGTTCTCCCACCAAGACTGGCCTTGACTGGACGGACTACCTAAATAAGTTCTTGCATGGGAAGAAGCCAACCAGCTGCTCCCCGCCTTACGGATATGCTAAAAATGGTTCTTCTCATTCTTACAGCCTACAGCCTTAAGTGGCTGTGTGTCTGTGCTGGAATGCTGAGGTCCCACGGAGGACAATCCGAGCCAATGCTTTTCCTATGAGAGACTACGAGAGAGTTGCTTTAACCCCTCGAAGGAGTGCTGCTGCATTACTGCGACCATTGAGACCATTGGAGCCATTGGAGCCATTGGAGCCATTGGAGCCATTGGAGCCATTGGAGCCATAGGGTGCGTATTCTCCTCTCTACGGACAAATACGATACGAAAATACGGTGTTGCACAAGTCAATGGATCGATGTCGAGCGACAAGATTACGATTGGCTAATGCCCAGGAACCCCCTGACGCTAATTACAACATGATGATGTGGAGTTGAGCACGCATCCAACAGGGTCCTTGAGCAGGGCTGCAGCAGAAGAGAGATCTACCTTCTCGAAGACCGTTTCGGCGTTTTATTACAACAGAAGCGGTACTTGTGTACCGATGTACTAGGCGTGACATTTTTGTATTGTACATCGGATCGTCGTTGTCGGTCCCTCAGTCCCTCCACCATCGCCAGTAGGTAGGTAGGTAGATACATATATATAGAACTCCTTAACTCCTAACCTACCTAACCTACCACTAGGTAACTAATTCTAATCAATTTAGCTATGAAACCGCTTGACACGCTAGGTCTTCCTGGGTCCGGGGAAGATTATCTTGACGTATGTATGAAGTCGTACACCGTTACCAAATGATGATGAGCGAAGTGAAGACGAATGGGAGGTTTGTTCGCTGTGGAGAGGGATGGAAGTGATTGCAGGACCTGATGATCGCACTAAGAATTTTGACGTAATTCTTTGGCTCCTTAATTTTTTTCTCTTCTTTTCAGCTTCGGCACTATCTCCGCGACGCCAGACGCTCCTCTTTCTTCTTTTAGTAATAACTAGTGGTAACGAGGCGAGTTGGCTTCCCCACCGGCGCCTAAAATCCGCCGTCGAAACTTGGGGCAGACAGGGCAACGGACCAAGACGGTGAAGGACAGGGGGACTAGAATATTCTAAAGCATTTCCGAAGTGGGAATGTCCTTGCAACGGCGGTATTTTTAATATATTGTATATTGAGGATAATCCTGTAGTAGTATCAATGCAGATATCGCTATCGTCATCATCAAACTTATGAAGGAGTCCTACTGTGTTGTGTAGAGGCGGTGAGCCATCGTGGGTTCTGGGAATTTAGATTAGACCAGCAAGCAATTGGACCAGACGCTCTACCAAAAATGTGAACTTCGGTCAGAATGTGTCAAGAGATATGTACATGTATCGCGATTAACTTGACCGCCTCGGTGTCGTTGGGCAAGGTCATATGAAGAGCACTGAAGCAACACACAGAGCACACAGAGCACACAGAGCACACAGAGCCGCGACTCGTCTTACGGTTGGGCGGAGGTTCAGCACCGCCATACGAGACCGCAAGATCTACAACTACGAGGGGTTGCGGCATGGGGCCATGCAAGGCCGGGCGTGTAATGGTATGTTGCGTCTGGTTTCTGGGCTTCTAAGCGCTTTTACTGGCTACGTAGCGTAGGCAACGTTTTATTATTATCAGGAGAGGATGGCAATGAGAAGCCATATACATACACCAGCAGGTTCGAAGATGGTCTGCCAAGAGACGCACGCTCTCTGCTGACCGCGAGATTATCCATCGGACACGATCCGCGAAGTCTCCAGCGAAGGCCGCGGAGAATTTTGTCAGAAGCAAAAAGGAGCGGGAGCATGTATGTACATGTTCCTTCGAAACGCGAACAGCAAAGAACAGCAAAAAACCCCCCACGATATATCTAGATATCTTGATTTGAGTGGGTTTCTTCTTGGTTAGAGTTGGTAGCGGGCGCGCATCATCGTATGTCTTGCATCATTGCCGCCCCCAAGGTTTTAATTTACTGGCTTTAGGTTGACATTCCGACTGCCGAAAAAGCAACCTTGAACGGTTTACTACTTTGCGTTTTGTTCTTTTAGGAAAAGTTGAAAATCTTAAGAGAGCAAAAAGGTTGATGGGGGGGGACCTTGTTGTGCATAACCCCTGATATCCACGATGTTACTTTTGGGGGTTTTTTTTCTTTCTTTCTTTTCTCGCTTTCTTTCTCCTCCCCCCTTACCCGTTTGTAAGTTACACATAATAGGTCGAAATGAAGTCATTTCCAGGCCAGGCTGGAGTGAAACAAAACATTAACGTAACGTACCGGATTCGATCGCAAACAAAAAAGAACGATGCCTATCCATGTGTTAAATAACAGACAGCATTATATACCTAATGCATTATAGTAGGCCAAGAAAAGGAGACGAGGCAGTGGTAAAGATTACCAGATTGAGCTGAAGCGCTTAAGCATTGGCGGATAGGATAGCCTTTTCGTATGTAGCTATGCACTTGATTTTATTTTCGGGTTTTATTTTATTAGTTAGTTAATGTAGGTACATATACATATTTTCTTCTTTTCTTCTTCCTTCCCTTCCACCCAGGTCTTTGGTACACCCCTGGACCCCTGCCAGAAGCATGCCTGTCGCTACAATTTTTTCTTCTCATCTTGGGGAAGCCGAGTGCGGATCAGGCTTAGATGGTCGATGATGTAGTTATGGGACCACCACATCTGCCACCTGGCTCAGCACCCACCTTGGTTCCTTTGCCCTACCTTGCCCTACTCACTCTGGCGCCCTGTCTTGAGCGGCCCTGCCCTGACCCTAGCAGCCTAGCTGTAGCTGTCCTAGTCGAGCTGGACTTTTATTGCCCATTTCGGCGTAGCGCCCATAATCCATTCTTTCCGCCTTTAAGCCGTTGAGTTACCGACGACGAATGCGCTCCGTCGATTTTTTCCTGGCTTGTCAGTTAGATTGGACATGTCTCCTTTTCTAGGTGTCCACCGACGATAATCAGAAAATATTGGCACTTGCTCCCTCACACCTGACAGAATCCACAGCGAGTGCGTTTGTTTCAGTTTTGTTAATCACTAACCCAAGTGCCCATCACAATAGGGTTATGGCCGGCCATCCTTCAGGAAGCATCTATTTCTTGTTGATATCACAACCTACCCAAAAACAAACCAGGTGGATGCAAGTCGAAGTTGGTTGGGGAAGACTCTCGGGCTCTTGTCTCAGACATACAGGTAGCACTTAAGCTTTTTGATACATGGGCAGCGTACTCGAGCTTTCGATTGCCGTTGGCTCGGCCATTATTGTCCCTCGTCTTTTGTCATTAAGGTTTGAGTTGACAAAGAGCCGGCAAAGCGCCTAGCTTCTTGTTCGAGACGACAAGCGGGAGGCCACCTGACTCTGTTCTCAAGTACATACATACACGTACATGTAAAGTAAGGTTGTAGGGTTGTAAGGTAGATAGTGCAAACCGAATCACGCAATGAGCGGCTGTTCCCCTGAATGGCTTTAGTTAAGAAGTTCATAACTTAGCCGTGCGATTGTGCCATCTTCATTCGTGTGCCTGAGGAGATCCCCCTGCGGTAATGTTGAGATATGACCATATGTTCGTGTTAGCGACTTACATAGAAGAAGAAGGCGAAAATAAAATATAAAATAAAATCAGCCACTATCATCATTAATGCAATACCTCGGGTGTAATCATTTAGCATCGAGCTCCCGCTCCCCCATGAATCCATACATGTGGTACATTACACACATACATACACACACACATATGGTACATATATGTATGTACCATATGTAGGTACAAGGATACTTTTCAGCCCAGTACCAAACAGTGGAAGAACAATGATAATGGTAACTTAAGTACCCACATTTACAAAGCCGACTGCTCTCTCTCTCCCATTCAATGTGTGTTCAATGCTGCCATTGATTGAATTATTGTGGACACAGTACAACGCACATGCACATACATACGTATGTCAATGTATGTATATGTGTATGTATATGTGTATGTATGTACATACGTACATACGTACATGGTACATGCACGTCCAGTTCGGTCCAAAACTGAACGTGCTGTCAACTAACCTTGAAGAATGGGCTTCAGTATCTTACTGTATTCTGTATGTACCTAGACCCAGAATTACGATACCATAACGCCAACCTAATTGATCCCTTGGAAAATCTACTTAAGGTTAGGTTCTGATATGAGAAAACAGAGGCCTATTACATTGAATGTTGATGAATATTACAATTCACACTAGCCCCCCTTCCTCTAAAGCTTATTAGATTATAGTACCTACCGACAAGGTAAGTTAGCAGGTTAGGTTAGGTACACCGTTGGCACAACATAATTGTCTACGGGTATAGATGTACCTATAATCTACCTAAGCATTCTAGCATTCTGGAGGTGGGAACTGGAATAGGGCAAGTACGTACCCATTATTTTAGGGGACCATCTGCTAAACTATCTCTTCTTTTCCTCTTCCTGACTCCTTCCCTGCCTTTGCCATGCTTTAATCCCTTCCTTTTCCGCTCCGTCACTTAATAATTTCCCGACCCCATTATCCTCCAGCCTGAAGAAGGGCAAGCAGAGCTGTACACCTCATCAAATTCGTAGAAGGAAAAAAAACACTTTGACGTTATTACTTATTTATTTATTATATCTTTTTTCTTCTCCTTATCCTTCCTACGTTAAGCATTTGTTAAGACCCGGTTTCCGGCCAGTCCAATTCCGCAATACCTAGAATCCCATACTTTAAGCAATACCTTGAAGCCTGCGCTGTCAGATTCAGATACAGATTTTTTTTTGTACATTCCATTAACGTCGCACAAGGATCTTCGCTTCACTGTACACTGTACGCTGCACGCTGTATGCTGTACCGTAACAACTTATAAGTTCACCCTGCCGGCCTTTCTCCTTTTACAATTTCTTCTTAGCTGCTGAGCCTCACTGGACGTCATCACGCACGCACACTTTTGACCAATTCTGTTGTACAACCGGCAAGCAAAAAAAAAATTTACTAAGAAGAGAGACGGAGTCATCACCACACCGCAGGAGGATCCACCTTAACTCACAAGGAACGAAGCGGCAGCGCATAATTTTATTATTTCTGGACTGGACGTGCCCGACAGACAGCCCAAACGTGGGGATCTGAAAGTCAAGAGGCCGGATTCATCGTACGAGATATATAAAAAGTATATATATATCTCTGTTAGAGCCTTCTTTCAAGTCAATCGCAAGCCAAAAGGCAGATAATAATTAGAGACGAGTGTATACTTGCAGGGGGCTGCAGCAGAGCAATATCAATCCTCCTCGTCTCCTCTTAGAGGACTATCTCACTTGGAAATCTGACGCTTAGGAAAATACCCATTTCCCCCAACTTAGAAATACCCAAATCAGCGACCTGCATTCTGGCCTGCCACCTCACCATTTTTACCGTGAGCTATTGCAACATCAGTCCCCCATACCCGCCCTGTTTAGGTCCTGGTCTACCACCTAGGGCAACGCAGACGCACAGCACGCGCGCAGAGGGCAGCTGGCCGTGTCCGTACCTCGACGTACCTCTGTCAGAGGGCCGTACCAGTGACAGGCCTGTACTTGATTTATACCACTGCTACTTTCTGCTGGTTACTACTCGGCCGCACCCTTGCGTTCCGGACCGCAATCGACATCTACATACGTCGTGGGAAGGCGCCGAGTATTCCTGCAGCCTCGAACTTGGCTTCGATTTTAATAAGTAGCCTTCCCCGGTGTGTACATTCACTACACATCTACTTCACGTCCAAATCTACCTACATACGTTACCTACATCCATACATTCATACATACTCGCTTACCTACCCTATCTACTTACATCCACTCCCCCCAATTCCCCTTTTCTTGGGAGGTGCCTCTATGAAATCCATATCCGGAAAAATGAGGCCCACAAGTTCAGCCCTCCTCATATAGACGCTGTCTCATATATTTCTTGTACTACACGTACTACCAACGATTCACGCGTGGGCTAGCTTCCGGCCCCCCTCGAAACCTATATCATGACTGCAACCCCCAACAATAACGATCCTTTACGTCCCAGCGTCGACTCTCGGATATCTTCTTCTAGTACGCCGATCATGGCCGCTCAGGGTTCTCTGTTGCGGCGGCCACGCCCAACTCAAGTTCAGACTAGCCACCCACCTAGCACACAACCTAGCTCAATGCCTACCTCAGCCGTCAGTGCCTCGACGGCGGCGTCTGGTTCTTCCCAACATGATTCTCCCATCATGTCCCCAGACCATGCGGTGTTAACCAACACCAGCAGTTCTATCCAACCTTCGCCGGAACCTTACCGTAGCCAAGGCCCTGATGTCGAGCAACTCCTCCCTCCGCCGCCCTTCCATCTTGGCGATCCTCTCCTCACTTACAAGTCCAGCGGCAACAGCTCGGCCAACGCCAGCATTGCAGCCACAACTGGTAGTTCCATGGCAGAAGCCCTGAACAATAGCCATTCTTCTGGCAAGGGTTTAATAAGACGGCTATCCAATCGTGCAAGTAAATTTGCCAGGACTCGACGTCAGTCGGCAGCGGCACCTATGAGACGGGAAGGAAGTATAGGTCCCGGAATTCTCCGACGCAGGAGTGATAGCACCAACACGGCCCCTGCGGTGGAGTCTGTCCTGTTGACGGATTCCGACGACGATTTTCACGACGAGATGAACGAGCTCAGCTCGGTCTATGGCGCGGAGAGCATGGTACGGGATTTCTCTTCGGGAAGCGCTGCTCCATCGCTAGCAGGTTCTGCATCCTTTACAGATGTTGCTACCGGACCCGTCGTACCCATGGCGTTAGTGAAAGGGACGTATCTTTATAAGATATCTAAGAAGAAGAAGTCGAAGCGGTTGCTCTTCATTCTCGAGGCAGCTGCCGGTAAGGTAATTTGGGAGAAAGGCCGTTCTACCAAGTGTATCTATATCGATGACATCAAGGAGGTCAGGATAGGTTCCGACATCCGGCAGTATCGGATTGACTATGGCATCCCAGAATCCGAAGAGGGTCGCTTCTTTACTATCTTCTACGCAGTTCCTGACAAGTCTAGGAGCAAGACGATGCACTTGATCGCCGAAGATGAGGAGACGTTCGCGCACTGGGTTAATGCTCTGGACTTAATATCCAAGCATCGAGAGGTACATATGGCCTCGTTGATGGCGTTTAATGACAGCGCTATCCGCGGATATTGGAATGGTGAGATGTCGAAGCAATTTGAGAACAAGCACCACTCGCCCGCTCAAGAGGAGATGGACTTCCCTGGTGTTGAACGCGTTTGCAGAAATCTTCACATCCACATGGCCCAGAGGGATCTGCGTGCCAAGTTCGCCGTTGCTGACACCACCAGGTCTGGCCGACTAAACTTTTCCGAATTCCAGGTATTCGTCCGCGAGATGAAACGAAGAGAAGACATTCGGCTGCTGTATCTCAAGCTGGCTTCAGATGCAGAGCGGGGAATCACCTTCGCGGAGTTTATGCGGTTCGTACGCGACGAACAATGCGAAGACGTCGATAATAATCATAACTTCTGGGAGAACAAGTTCCTTCGTTGGGCTCGCCGAGCTGGCGGATGTAGAGCAGAGACGGCATCGTTTCAGCGCTTCGACAAGGACTCGGCTACGATGAACGAACAAGCTTTTGCGGCCTATTTAACATCAAAAGATAACTTCCCGCTTGTGCGCCCGCCGTCCGAGTACTCTCTAGATCGACCCTTCAATGAGTATTTCATCTCCAGTTCTCACAACACCTATCTAGTTGGCCGTCAAATTGCAGATGTCGCCTCCATCGAGGGTTATATTTCGACTCTTGTCCGTGGTTGCCGTAGCGTCGAGATCGATTGCTGGGATGGGTCTGATGGTCAGCCGATAGTCAAGCACGGATATGCCATGACGAATGCCATTTCTTTCCGCGAGGTGATCAACACTGTTAATAAGTACGCCTTTGCTGCAAGCCACTTTCCACTCTGGGTATCGCTCGAAGTTCACTGCAATGCACCACAGCAAGAGGTCATGGCCGATATTATGAAGGAGATATTTGGTTCTCGCCTTGTCACTGAACCCTTAGACCCATCCTCGAATACGCTCCCATCGCCCACGGAACTAAAGGAAAGAATATTGATTAAAGTGAAAGGGACGCATCGAAGCGCCACGCGTAACGGCGGTGAGGCTACAGGTCGTCGACGCGGAAACAGCCTGACCTCCCCTTTCTCGAAGCCGGTACCCTCTGACAACACATCTATTCCAGCTCAATTCTTATCAAGCCCTCTCCTAGCCCCTACCGGCCAACCCTGGCGTGGTGTGGCGGCGAAGCGTGTAGACACCATTAACGAGGGTGAGGTGCATGACACGGTTAGTAGCAGCACGAGCGAATGCGACAGCGAAGAAGAGAAGGGTGGAAAGAAGAAGACAAGCAAGATTGTCAAGAGTTTAGGCGAGCTTGGTGTCTACTGTAGTGGCGTCAAGTTCCACGGCTTTGAATCGGCGGATTGCAGGAAGAGCAACCATATCTTGTCCTTTATGGAAGGCACATTTAGGAAGCACTCCAAAGCTTCGGATTCTAAGTTGGCCTTGGCCCGACACAATATGCGCTACATGATGCGTGTATATCCCCAATATTCCCGGTTATCTTCTGACAACTTTAACCCTTTGATGTACTGGCGGAGGGGCGTGCAGATGGCTGCGCTCAACTGGCAGACCTTTGACCTTGGCATGCAGTTGAATCAGGCCATGTTTGACGGCGGCACCGATCAGTCCGGGTACGTCTTGAAGCCCGCGTCGATGCGCGAGATACGCATACTCCCCGACGGTCTCCCTCTAGAAGCCATTGGAAAATTGGAGCGCCAAAACATGTCCTTCGACATCAATATAATCTCGGCGCAACAACTCATTCGACCTTCCAGCCTGGGTTCTAGCCGCACTCTGGATCCGTACGTCGAAATCGAAATCTTTCATACCAACGACAAGCGAGACAAGCATGACAGCATGGCGGGTATACCCATACTTACCGACACTCCACTCAAGTCGACCACATCCATTGTTAAAGAAAATGGGTTCAATCCCGTTTTTAACCACAAGGCTCATTTCAACGTCACGACTAAGCACCCCGAGCTGCTCTTTGTCAGATTCAGCGTCAGGCTTTCCACTGACGGCGAGTACACGTCCGGTCGCAGTGCCCTTATTGCAACTTACACGGCAAAACTTGACAGCCTCAAACAGGGTTATCGAACTTTGCCGTTACTAGATTCTAACGGGGACCAATACCTCTTCTCGACGCTGTTCTGCCATATCAAAGTTGACCCCACAACTAGCGTATACGTGTCAAAAGTAAACGAGAACAACGGCGGCGAGGCCGCTGTCGGCAAGTTAAAGCATATTGGTCGAAATGTGTTTAACAGATCAACTGCTAGCAGCACGAAATCGAGCTTTGAAAAGAGCGTCGACGGTGATTCACAACCACATTTCATTTAATCCAAGCACACCCTTCTAAGCAAGACCAGCTTTGAATCATATTGTACTTGTACATCTTTTATTTGAGTTAACAGCCCAGTCTCGATGATTTCCCACTTTGGTTTGAATCTATAGCGAATACCCTCATCGGATCACATACTCTCAAAAGGGAGGCGGCGTAGCACGGCCATAAGCGAATTTTTACGATCTGGTTTTGCATTTTTTTCGGGGGCGTTCCATATCGGTCGTTCACTCGAAGTACTCCCTTTGAGCAGAGCCTCGGGAGCACGAGGGATTGGCGAGGAAAGGCATAACATTGGTGTTGAAGGGCAATTTCAAGATAGATCTGGGAAATGACAAAAAAAACTCTCATTTGTTTTTCACATGGACGGTAGCATTCGGGTCAAAGGTGTTTTATTTGGTAAGGGGGGGTTTATGACGACTTTTCTTAGTGACGAGGACACTATTCAGAGCATTTTATTGGACTTACATATTTGCATTCGCTTTTGCGAGTAGGACTTATGGTGCAAGCTGAGGCGCAGGGTCGCAATGGGACCAGCAGCACAAAGAAGAATCAATTCCAGGTGAAAGATTCGTCATAATCTGACCGGGGGGCTTGGGGGTTTCGGTGGCGGGCGGTTCTTGATATCTCGAAGTGCATCAAGTTTTCACTTCGACACTCCATTTCTCCCCAGCAGGTTCTTCTTCAACTAGCATTGGCATGTCGGCTCGCATTTGCATGAAATCAGATAAACAATACCTGTGGCTCGCGCTGCACACTATGTACTGGATCCACAGCGATTCTGAATTACACAAAGTTGCATTCATTTGTCGTCGTCGTGTCTTTGTTGTATCGTGTCTTGGTCATCTCGTCATCATGGTTATCACTGTCTTCATATTTCTGTACTTTATCATCTGTGATAGTAGACTATCATGATGATGGCCGTCCACTAGCTTGTTGATAATTATTGCTAACTACCTACCTACCTAACCTAACTGCTGACTACGAGCTAGAATCGATAGACTGTGCAGAGGCTTTGAAGTGGCTGGCTGCTTACCTTTCAATGTAACGGGCTGCCAAAAGCGGTAGGAGTTCGTCCGCTACGGGCCATGGCGCATAAGCATACCTTGCCCATAGGATGTTCATAAGATTGCCCAGACAGCGCCCCCGGTTGGGTTGGGTCTCGGAAATAATGTAACTCTACGGAGGTATGTTTGGTCTATTGGGTTCTCATACCTTGTTCAGCCTCGATTGGGTCTTATTTACCGTTTTGGGCGAACCCCATCCTCGGGACCTGGGAATGTGTGGAATAGTGTTAGTGTACGTGTACAGTATGCATATCAATGCATTGTATGCAATGCAAGCCCCCTTGGGTCTGACATACAGCTTACAGTTTACAGCTCATACAGTCCATACAGTCCATACAGTCCATACAGTTCACACAGCCCAATGTCCCTCGCACGACGCGTCCAGTCCCGTGGGTCACCCAATCTATCAGCCCCGAACATGATCTGATCTGACGTCTAGGTAGCATATGTGACTACCGTACTAGGCAGGCCGCCGGAACTGCGGGATATTAATCTTGGAGTTGCTCGCGGCAGTTTACCGTACCTATGGGTCCACGGGATCCACGGTTGAAGTCGAAAGGTTTACCTAGAGGACAGACCCATAAGATAGATCCTACTCTAGCTGCTTCCAACGTAGGTAAATGCATGAAGTGCTGGCATCTGAACCTGTCGCAGCTGGGGCGCGAATTACCAGGTAGCTGTATTATTACCGGGCAGATTTCCTGGATACGGTAAGCCACCGTAAGCCCAGCCTTCCAGTTGCTGACGCTTGGAAGCTTCGAAGAGAGTTAGCTCCGGGAATTGGCTTACTCACCAACTCCCTCGCCCATATGAGGATACTATGTGCAAGAGACGGATGAGGCGGACTACACGGCTTAACCTAGAGGTATGTATACACATACGTATACGCACATGTAGTAGCATGTGAAATGACCCAAACGATAGGAACCTACATACCCAGGTAATATCCGTCGTGGACGAATTGCCTACGTCGTATTACAATTTATAATATCCAACGCAGCAGCAGGTGTGGGTGGTAGCGAGAGGGAAAATGGGAGAATGGGAGAACGGGAGAACAGGGGGAGGAGAAAAGGGAAACAAAACGCGTCTCTCAACTTTCAGCAGCTGCCGCCGACAAGAATCCCATGTCCTTGGAAGCGAGGCAAGGAGGGTAAAAGGGATAGGAAGGGATAGGGAGAAGTAACTACACTCAGCTAAGACAAAAAGCCCCCGTAGCTATCACGTACAAGCCATGTGCAGCGTGCCCAGCATGCCTAGCATGCCCAGCACGGCTACTGTTGCTGCGGCTTGCTTGATGCAATGCACGAGGCTGCACTTTCATCACATTCCTTCTTACCCAAACGAGCCTGAGTCCCCTGTCTTATTGGTAGACGATGCGGGCTGACGGGACGCACTTCCCTGACACACCCCTCGTCTCTCTCTCTCCCGTGTTCCATGCCACTGGAGAGGTAGGGCAGGGCTACACATGCAGTGCGTGATGACGAGCCGCTTACGAACTGCATATCCCAGGCGCCCAATGATTTACGATCCCAAGCCTGTCAAATCCTCGCCGATAGCCTTACCATGCTGTCGGGTCCTGCAGCCCGCTCCCGAGCGTGTTCCTTCTCACCTTCCTGTTCACCTCGAACCCTGGCCGTGACATGAGCGCTGGGACGCGGGGGTAACAGTACCTAGACGGGATGAGCACCCATCGGCCCATCGACGCTAGCACATGGGGGAGCAAGATGGCTCACGCTATCGCATCGCATGGCTAGCTGGCAGCCTATTTTGGCTGTCAGAAAAGGACCTGCAGGATCGATCAGCCGTATGCTGTACCACCACGTACGTTATAAGTACGTTATAGGTACGTATGAGGCTTTTGCTCTGAGAGTGGGATTGGGGAACCATACGAAAATAGCCCCCTAGGTGTGGTCAATCCATGCTGTCTGCTTCCCCTGATTCCGTTCCGTTCCATTCCGTTTCGCTTCGCTTCGCGTCGGCGTTTTTCTTTGTTCCCGGATTCTGTTTATCCTCGAATGGTATCTATGTACTGCGCTCCGCAGCAATACCTAGCAATATGCAATCCTCAGGCCGGGGTATCTAACGTCTACCTATAGTACTTGAGTATGCCAGAGACCCAATCGAGGATGCAAGGTGGGTAAGGAGGATCTTTTGCAGCGAAGTAAACGCAGACGATCCAGCGTACAGGTTGCAAGTACCAGCTACAAGGTCCGTAACGGTATAATACGGTGCAATCCATGCAGGATTCCTGCCGTCCCGCTTCTTCGAGTTGCCTCGATCGTGCTGTGCATCATGTATGTATAACGCCACACGCTCTTGTTCTTCGCTACCGATAATAACGACTCCGTGTCCTCGGGATTCCAATATTACTCCTATGCAAACGCCGCCAGCTATCCTATCGGAGCTCCTACCCTTTCTAGCTTCTCAAAGCCCGCCGATGGCCCAACTCTGGTTCCGGGGGAGCCATAAACCAGGGGGGAGCCAAACTGCCTGCCTGCCTGCCTGCATGCCTAAACTGCCCAACTACACATACAATTCCCATATCTATACGCACGCCCGCACCTACATGACTACGTACTTACATGCTACAAAATAACGCGCGGCACCATCCCTTCTTTAGCGCTCTTGCGTCGACTCCACGGACCGTGGAGATGAGCCGTAGAGGATCGCCTGAACTCTTACCTGATTTTGCCGACAGCCGATCCGTCGACAGTGCTGAATAGGGCCTTTCGCAGCGGAAAATTAGCGAGGGGAGAGAAGCTGCGAGCTCGTTCACCGCCCCGGGGACGCCAATCATAGGGAAACGGAAGGCTCCCCACTCTGCAAGTTGTTGGTGCGGACCGGGACGACGAGCTTGGCGTAGGCACAAGCACACGAGCGTGGAGCGTGGAGCATGGGGTGGGATATATCCTCGTGGAGTGACGTAGTTGAGGGTAGATAGCTATAAACAGCACAGCAATTTAAGTGAGAAACCTGGATCCCCGGCGCTTCTGCGGCGAGCAGTACTGTACTTGAAGATACCTAGGTAGCATTGTCACTTTCCCATGGGACCAGAAACGCTATCCTGCATTCTCCAGGTCCACCAGGCAGAGGCGGCTAGGTTAGTTGGACGCCTCGAAACCGTCGACGTAGCATCATAGGCCACGCTGTGCTGCTAGCTGTTATCACGAGCATAAGACGGGTTTCACATCTTGGCTCGGCATCTATGTGCGTGAGAAGATAGAGAGAGAGAGAGAGGGAGGGAGGGAGTCTTTACCCCGGACTTTCGTGGTTAATTATCGTCCACTTACGTAAAAACAACGACTTCCCCTCAAGCCCTCTCTCCCTCTCTTTCTCTCGTGTTCCCGTCGAATAGCCTGTAATCCACGTATGTATGTATGTATGTACGTACGGGGGCCTCTTTGCGGTTTTGGACAGGCCCGCATACGAGCTAAAGCCTTTTAGAGCAGCTTGAGTGGAGGGCCCGTGGGACCGGAGTCCGCCCCGCGTCCCCTACCTGCCTACCTACCTACCTACCTACCCTCTCTGCTGCTGCGGTGGCCGCGATAGGCCGACGCCCCTCCTCTCTCCGGCCGGAGGCAGGCACCGAAGGATTACATAGATATCCCACGCGCTCCAACTCGCTCGCTAGCTAGCTAGGCAATGATGCCTCCGAGCCCCGTGGAACGCGAGCCCCCAAAGCCGACGACTGCCGCGCGGACCCGCCCACATGAGGGCCGCCGCTAACTGTAGAAGCCCGAGTCCAGACAGACAGACAGACAGACAGACAGACACAGGTCACGCTACATATCTGCGCCTGGGCAAATTGGGCTCGACTGGGCGTAGCATAGGTACGTCGAGGTAAAGCGAGGTAAGGTAAGGCAAGGCAAGGCAGCTTCGGGAGCGTATCGGCGACTTATGCCCACCGCAGCAGCAGCGGGCGTCGTACCCCGCCCCCCCCCCCAGCTCGTGCCGAAGCAATCCCGTACCCGAGGAACACGTAGCTGGAAATACATCCGAGGCCCCTTTTTTGGCTGGCGTGCTGGGATTTGGCCGAGGACCTCATGTTACGTACGAAGAGTGCAATTGGACAATTGCGCCGAGAAGAGTTCTGTGTAATGTAATGCGATGCGGTGTGCAATGTACTGTACTGTAATGTAATGCAATAGTTATTATATGTAATGGGTGGTGACCACGTGATTAACGGGTGATCGACGGGAGATGGATGGATGAGACGCGTCATCACGGGCATTGGGTTGGGTGTAATTATTACTTCATTAGTTGTAATAGTATGTCCATGTGGCTTTTCTTCGAGAAGCCATCGGTATTTGCTACTTGCCTAGGTAGGTAGGTAGGTATGTTGGTAAAAAGACATTTATGAAAAAGCGTTGATGTATTTTATTTGTTTCGATACTTGTGTGAGTTAGATAGGTACTCTAAGTGTTGTTAGATCATAATCTCTAACAATCGAAAACTGTTGCTATTGAAGCTGTTCGAGACTCAATGTAGTTATATTAATATTAAAGTTGCAGAGAATGTATTATTGCACGAAATACTTCTTAATGATAGTGTTTTGTGTTGTGCTTAATAGAAATGTGTTGTTAGGATATCATGTAATATAAAAGATAAATTCTAACGAGACAATGTGAAGAAAAGAGAGAAAAAATATAAGGGTATCAACATATATGTCTAAGAGTTCAACTTAATCTCATTAAGTTGTCATGTAGATCCAAGGGTAGATCCACTGGGATTAGGCATATGAAAGGCGCGCAACGCCCTCAAAAAGGGATAAAAAAGCAGGCGTTAATATTTCATTTCATTTATTTTAGAATTTACTCACTACTTATATATATAACACTAATCAAGGGTATTAAATTGACAGTTAATTATTTGGTAGTTGTAAAGGACAAACACGAAGCTATTAACTAGCTCCACAAGGCTAACAATGCTATTCTTATCTATATACTCATTTAATAGATATCTAGAGCCTACTCTCCTAGTCGATGATCAATTTACTACTTTACAACACTTATATAGTGCTATCACTAAGACACAGTAGTATGGTATCACAAATATGCTGTAGCAATTCCACCGGTATTTGGTAAGGCTTGAGATAGCTTGGCCATAACCATGTTTTTACAATTGTCAATGCCTTGTATGAACCATAATAGTAGCGTTAAGCTTCAGTTTTTCTATATGTACTATTATATAGAAGTAATATGAAGGCTAATGAACAGGCTGTATAGGTGACTTTGGCCCCCCTTATGTGCCAACGCTACCAGCAAACGAGGAAAATATGAATTGCAGACATCTGTATATTTGACCGGATCATATTTAGATACCTGGCGAATTAGTTACGTTCCAGTAGTGTTGTTTGAAATGATAGTGCAAGATATTGCGACATGTCTTCTAGATCCCACGGGATAGGTTTCCGGCTAACCAGGCCTTGAAACATATTGCTTTGTGTAAAGTTAGGATGTGATATACATAAGGTGCCCCTGGCTTATCATTTACATCCCAGAGACAAAGTTTTAAGTTGAGAAAATATAGCATGTTATGCATGATTTTAGATTCACTGTGGAAACATCTTAAGATTATCCAAGAAAGCTGAAGAGTAAATAGGTCAGAGGTCGAGTCAGTTGAAAGGGGTCTGAGACAAGAAAGGATACAAGCGTAATGAAATG